ATGCTCTTCAGGTAACCCGTGTCTTTTTGCAGCAGCATGTGAGGATGATCGAATTCCTGCGTACGATATATAAAAGTTCGCAGTTTAAAAGATAGTTTATATCGAGACTATTATAAATAAAAAAGAAATTAAGCATTTTCTTCACGTAATCAGTATTAGTTATATAGTCAAAGATTTTGTAATTCTGTATCAACTAATAAGTGGCTTATTCAATATAAAAACTTTAATGAAACAATACAATAATGATCAAAGGGTATATTCGCAGTATTCATACAACAAAGTATTTATATAAATCCAGATATAATTTATGTTATTATATTATACTTTAAAAGATTGTAAATAAATTTCATAATCTGGAACGAGAAGTACAAAATATGTCACAAGAATGACCGATAAATTCATAGTTACATTGATTTTTCACAACCACAGAAAGGAAAGATTTTGTGACCTACTTAAATTCATTCGATGGGTCGCTCTAATCATAAAATTCTTAAAAAGACAAAATAAAAGAAAATTGACTCACCGCCACGTTTCCGGCGTCCATCACCAAGATTGATCTTGCCAATGGCAATCATCGCCATTGGACAGCCATACGATCGCTGTCCATAACGGTGTTGAGTCGATGAGCAATTGTTAGCACTGTACACTTCTCGAATTTTTTCTTCATAGTTGTCTGGATGAGTTCGTCTGTTCGCAGGTCCACATTCGCGGTCGCCTCGTCCAGCACGAGTATTGGATTGTTCCTCACAATAGCTCGTGCCAAGTAGACCAATTGCCGTTGGCGGACGCTGAGATTGGAGCCGCCCTCATTGATGTGGGCTTCCAAGCCCATCTCCTTCAACTCGACCTCCTCAAGAACTCGCCATAGTGGTTCGTCCATATACGAGTCGAACGGATCGAGGTTCCGTCTCAGGCTGCCAGAGAACAGGAATGGTTCTTGAGGGATAATACTGATCTTGGAGCGCAAATCGTGCAAGCCTATCTGGCTTGTGTCGACTTCATCGATCTCAATCAGACCGTCCATGTCGGATAGGCGGAAGAGCGCCTGGATTAAGGATGACTTGCCAGCGCCGGTTCTACCAACGATGCCAATTTTCTCCCGCGGAAAGATAACGAAGTTAAGATTCTTAAGTACCGGCGGCTCCAGCGGCGCGTAGCGCAAAAATACGTTCTTGAACTCGATCTTGCCTTCCTGCGGCCATTCGGACTTGGGCTTTTTACCAGGAGCACTTTCGATAGGAGGCTCGCTGTCCACTTTGCTGGAAAAAGATTGAAACAGAAAATGTAACAACTGTTATTTTATTGGGTCACATTTTGAGAGAGATTGCTGCACGGACTTTTTCTCAGTCCCCTACGCCACATTATAATTCTGTACTACTCTTCATAAAATAAGTTTAAATTGATGTATGACCTAGAATTTCATGTTTTTCAAAATATCCGTGGTAGTTCGATCCGGGTGTATAAAAATATGCACGTGGAGTAATAAATACCAAAGATATTAAAAAATTAGTTAAGTACTTGTACTCAAGGATACGCTCCACCGAAGTCATTTGGTTCTCCAATCCTGCGCTCTGACGCGTGCCCCACTGGAACATGCCGGTGAGACCGATACTCTGCGTGATCGTCAGGCCTACAAATCCGCCATCCATTGAACCTTGACTGTAGTTGTCTA